ATGTCTGAGCCAACTGACTCACCAGAAGACTCGCCAGCACCTCACTGTTCATGCCTCTTGGAAGACAGAAAGATGCTATTCCTCCAAATGGCTTTTATGCGGAGGATCTCCCAGCTTTCTTCATCTTCCCTTACTTATTTGTGTACTTAAGTGATTTTCAGGATACCATCAGCTTTACCAATTCATTTACAGCAAACTAAAGATTTATGTTCATTTTTTGCCCCCAGTTTTATACATACCCACTTACACGACTGGTTGGCACTGCTATAAGAAGGAGCAAACCGGAACAGGTACTTTCTAAGCTAGCTACTGCCCAGAGAGAGGCTGATGGAACTGTATGGTCAAAGCGTCTAACAAAAGCACCATGCTTCTGTTAGAAGTTTTTGGAGTCCGCAAATCAGTAAAATGGTCACGGTGGGGAAATCACTAAATATAGACGAATTAAAATCAAAGCTGTTTAAAATTAACTGATCTAAATTTTAGGGTAATCTGAAACATAGATTAATTTGATCTAGTGCTACCATGCTAAAATGCACAAGCAACAGCCACTTTCTGGCTCTTTTATTCCTATTTCCTTTTCAAGTAGATACTTGACACAAACTTCGGGCTTGTAAAGACCCAGTAACGTCATTTGAATTTTAATCCTCATGTTACTCAGGACATTGTTCATTAGTAACTCGCAGAGGATTCTGGGTGTTAGATAATTTCTGTGGGATCATCTCAAACATCCTAACAATCAACCTTTGAAGATTAGTTAATTAAGCTCAGAGCAAATTACTATAGGGAAGAGCCCAGTAACTTTGGCACAGGAAAATCTACGACCATGATTAAGCGCCATGAGAATCGCAGCTGGTTTCAACTTATAGATGAAACCATGAATACGTATCTGTCAGAAGTGCTGGTAAATAACTCATGGAAATACAGTCAAGACACATTTACATTTAAGTCGCTGCACTTGGAAAACATTTTTGAGGAAAACTTGTGGAAACACTACAAATTAGCCAGGAAATAAAGCTCTCAAATTCTGCACTTTGAAGACAAAGAGTTCGAAGACATAGTAAACTTGATTCTTAGAAAATTATTCTGCATCGTTACACAGAAGAATCTAGGAGTCAGCTGAATAAATAATCACTATTTTTTGCACTTCAGCAGTAGCTGGAATAATTACATGTAATTTTTTTGTTACAGTCCCTAAAGCGGTAAATATACTCCCTTCTTGAGTAATTATGTATTTCGTAATCTCCTATAGCTTTTACTCTTCAGGAAATAAAGTTGGAGTCACACATTCAGTTTTAACATCTATCATGAGTTTTAACACCCATCAGGATGTTGCATAGCTGGCTGCTTTTACTTACAATACATTTTCAAGATGAGACTATTTTCTAATCAGTTGCTCACGTTATATTTAGGATGCACTCGTGATGACTCCAAATATAAAATGGAAAAGGTCCATTTTGAAAGCACATATAAAAAAGAAAAAGTTGCCACCAGCCATTGGACTACTGATTATTTTCTAAAGATTAAGTTATAGGGAAACAAGTTTATTATAAACATTTTAAAACCGGAGCTGTAAATTCTGAGGAAGCTGCATAGAACATGGAGGTCAATAAACAGAACCACGTCATGTCTCTCAAACAGGAAGATTTACTTACATTTCAGCTTCTTTTCTGCCACAAGGTAGAAGACTGACAATTTAAAAAAATTAATAAATACATAGCTTTTAATGATAAACACCATTTGAACTATTCTTTACAAAAAAGTAAAAAACCCCTTAACAAGTCAATCTAATGTCAAACAGGAAGATATATAAACATTTCAGGTTATGTATGTATTTTGGATGGTCTTTGGTAGACTACCAGCAGCAAGACTACAAGAACTTTCAGGTCTCCCTACTGATTTGCACGAAGAAGGAATGTAACCAAAGTTAAGAACGTTCTTTAGTAAAATCAACTGTGCTTCACGAACTACGCTAAGCATGGTTTCTAGCTGAAGGTAACTCAAATTAACTTGTGTGCATTTCTACAATGCCCTCCTCGGCGTGGCAGCTTTCAACAGCTGCTGTCCTGCAGCTGGAACGCTACCCCTAACCCAAGTTCAGAAGGCAAAGAAAACAGATCCTTGCACAAGTTTCCTATGCATAGGGCAGAGGAAAGTTAGAGAAAAACAATACATTAAAAACCCTTTATACATGTATATTCTTCCACTTATTCTCCAGCATACAGACTCTGCTTCAGCTCTCCTGGAAGGAAACATGGCAGACCAGGCTCACTTGGACAAAAGCAGCTTCCAAATTCCAGGCAGAGGGGCCCAGCACTCAGCTGGGGAAGCACCCAGATCCTACAAAAAAATTACAAAGCGCCTCGAGTAGTCTGCTCTTTCCGCAGTACTGCAAAGGGAAAAACAGGGGATGTGTCAAGAATGGTGATAAACTGCAGTAGTTAGATTAAACATTTATTTTTCATATATTCACAAAATCTTCACAAAAGTATTGAAACTCAAAAAGGAATTAGACTTGAGCCAAATACAGAGATGAAATGTACAAGACAAATGAGCAGGCAAACTAAAAGGTCTTGAAAGTATTTTACTTCAGATTGAAAAATGAACAGTTCAACTGTTCTGTTTAAATAAAGATTTGCAAGATATACAGTATTTTATGAATACAATGCTGGTCATTTGAGGCAATGTAAAATACCTCAATTTTTCCTTCATGCTTTTTTTTTTTTTTGCCTTTTTTTTTTTTTTTTCTTTTAGAAAGATACTGTTTACCAAAAAGAAACTTGAGCAGTCCAGGAAAAGCTATTTTCCATTAAATTTATGAAAACCATAAATTGAGGCAAACCTAAGATTCCCAATGGAATCAAGATTATCTTCCCGCTACCACCACCTTAAAATTATCACATGCTTATTGGAACACTAATATCTGCACCCTAAGAGTACATTTGCTTTCAACGATGAGGGTGATTCTTCTAAAAACATTTCAGTGTGGTAAATGCGATACAGATCTTTGCAAGTATTAAGTTTTGGAACAGTTTTGCTAATAGCAGCTAACAATACTGGATTAATATAATTTATAAATAATTGTTCCCTAAGCGGTCAACATAAGTCTACACATTCACAATAATCTAAAACAAAATAAATAACTGTGATTATGCATAATGTGGTACAACTTTTACTAGTTTCTATGAACAAAAGCTCAACATCTTGTTGATAAAATTATCTGATCAAATTAAAATATGAATCTAAAAATTAAAAAAAAAATAATTGTCAAATTAACATCACTTAAGCTTAGTGTTTGAGTAAATGTTATGACTTTCCGTATTTTTGGAATATACTTGTTTTCCTTTTTGAAGTAAAACACTTTAACACATTGAAAATGTTTATTAATTTAAAGTGATGACATCAGTTCTGGTCTTATTTTAGCATTATTCTACTTTAAAAATCATTGCACTCATTAGTGCCCATTAAAGGTCAGGTTGGTCTGTAGTATTCTGTAAATGTATATAAAAAAAAGTTTCTAAAAGCTAATAGTCCTTTTTATAAAAGCATCATCTTCAGAACAGCTGCATTAAATACAGCCACATATGCCGAGTACAGATTTTCCTCTTTAAATACGTGAAAGTAAATGCCACTTAACTTTCTAGCAGTGAAGTGTCCCAACTCCTGTTCCAAGCTATGCCTGTGAGTGTCATTACACATTTAATTTGCATCCATGGCACCAGTTACTGCAACCTAGACTTGTAGTGTGACTGAACCAGACAAATGCGGAGTTTAAATTAAATGATAACTAGGTCAATGAAGAAATACTATGAGATATGAAAGGTTTGGGTCTTTAAGGCAATACAAAGTATATTTCATTATTTGAAGTTGTTTTGGTGTGTGTTTGTGTATCTTTTTTCTTAAATAATTAAGTGTAAATATAAAAATGCCTAAGAGGGGAGTGAGAAAAAAATACTTTAATTGTAAAATTTACTTAAAGCTTCAACAGTTATCACCTCCTACAGGAGTTAGCAAAAATATAAAAGACAAAAAAACCCAGACCTGGAAGGGGGAAGGAAGGCACAAACAAAGAGGCATAGGATTAAAGCAGCCCAGGAATGCAAATGTCTGTAGCAAACTGAGTTTTGTTGTTTGGTTTTTTAAAACAAAACAAAAAAAGAGAAAACAATCACCACCACCCAGCAAACACCCCCCCCAAGTGGCTTTATATTTCTTTTAAAAAAAAAAAAGAAAGGGTTGGGGAGAGACCACTAAGGGGAGGAAGAGAAGGATGCAACTATAAAACCCCATTGCCTGAAATGATGGCACTCTAGAAAACAAGGTGAAGGTTACTTCTCCAAGATGACAAGCTCAGTGTCTACACAAAGTACATGTACACTTTACACAAATGAAAAACTTCATTTGCCACCATAAACCTTTCTTTCAGAGGAACAGCTTTTGCAGATCAAATGTTCTATTAAATCTTTTAAATGCCAAGAAAAGAAATTCTGAGCAATATAACTAGTAATGTCTCTTTATATGGATGTTAAGATGACAATTCAGATTATTTTCCAAACTAATCCTGAGAAAAATTTATGTTTACAATTTAAACAGTAATGTTATGTAAAAAGTATTAACAAATTCACTATTACAAATGTCAGTTTTCCTATATGGTCATCTATATATACACAATAAAATGGTAAGTATATGCAAAAATAATAAAAAAATCATGCACAAATTACTTTCACCTTTAAAGGCTGGGTTTCCCTCAAAATACAATTTTTTGCCTTTTTTTTCCTATTTTTTTCTGTTTTATTTGTTTGTTACCACCCCCTAGACACACTGAGTACTACCTCTACAGGTCAGCATGAGCTGATGGGAAATACATTTATTTTACATTCAAGCTTTTATATCCTAAATGACCCTGTTGTAGCATATGACTTATCAAATGAGCAGCCTTTTTCCTTTTTTTTTTAAATTTTTTTTTCTTTTAAATTTTTTTTTTCCTTTTTTTTTTTTTTTTTCAGTGATCAATCTTCATGATCCGTTCCGTGGCGAGCTGGGAAAAAAAAATGCAGTTGCTAATCAATGTCTGAACAGTCTGAAGCTCCGGAAGAGATCCAAGGAGTCACTATCAAACTATCCTGTAGTATGAGATCATTGCACACAGAAGAACAGTCATAAAATAGGCAACTATCTACAAAGGTCTGAAAGGGCCGCATCCCTCTTGTGTTTCCTCTTTTTGCCGTGGAAAAACTGATGGTGTGATTTGCTGCCTTGATGTTGTTTGTTTGTAACTGAGGTACCGTGGCTTGAGTTTGTTGGACCTTGGAAGCCTTTGTTAGAAGCGCGAAATAACCGTGCAGATCCATGCTGTAAAAGAAAGAGAATGTGGTGGTAAATCAGTTGCTAAAAAGAAAAAAGCATGGCAATTACGCAACCCTATTTCTGGATAATGAGGATGCTAACTCATGAAAGTGTTACACTTGAAAAAATTGATATGGCAAAAGCAGCTAGGCCATTGCTTAAACAGCAGCACAGTACCACAAATCTTTCACTTTGGTGGCTGCAAACAAATGTTCATCTCTAGACCCAACACCATGCAGGTCAAGAGAGAAGAGCAGAGCACTCTGAATTTTGAGAAGAACAAAACTGTTCTATCGCTCCCATTTCACAACCATCAAAAAAGTGTTTTACAGAAACATAAATCCGTAATCCAAGACAACAGATGAAGATTGCTCAAATCTCATCTTCTGTGCAAAATTAAGACAACATTCTTTTAAGACAAGGACTAATTTTATACCACATCTGTTTACAGATGTAAAGTATCTCAGATGGTGCATACACACATTCCAGCACCAGAATTAGTTTTGCGTAATAACACAAACACACATTCACAGCGTATCCAAGGCCTAGTTTGTAAACTGCCTCGTTACTAGCTAGAGAGAGATAATCAGCAAGTAGGAGGCAAGTCTTCAGAATTACTTTTCAGGAATTATATTCCAGAAGATTCCAGACTATTTTTCATACCTTAAAGAAGTCCTACATTCTGAAAAAGTATAAAAATTTAAACTGCATATATCCAAAGTATATTGCATATAGAGGCATATAATATTTCCAGATTACTGAGTTGTCATAGAAGCATTCCTCAACAGAAGAGATCTCCTAAATGCGTAAGCTCTGGTAGGTCTCATCATAAAGGTATTTGTCTTTAGGGAGAAATGAGAGTGAATTTCATGTATCAGCAAGGAATTTTTATCTCTCAATGAAAGACAGTTCGACAAGTATCAACACCTAACAGAGCAGCCAGTCATAGTTTTAAATACACATTTTCGCTAACTGTTTTTTCACTAAGTGTATGCAAGTCTCATTAGTTCTCAAATTCTGCAGTCAAGACTGGACTGACATGCTTTTGCAAAAAAGAAATGGGTGCAATTAAAAAGAAAATGCAGCTGTATACTTCTGGCAAATCTAGATTTCCCAAAATAAAGTCAATCCAATTTCATGTGTTTTAAGGCTGGGAAAGCCACTGTTGCAAACTCATCTGTGTATGCTAAACAGAGAACCAGGTGATTTTAGACACAATCAGTGCTCCAAGCTTTTTAGTAGGGTAAAATGGAGGTGAAAAACACAGTGTTTCCTTTCCAGAACAATCTACCTTTCCACAGAGGACAGGTGTAATATTTAAAATAATCTATACACTTGTTGTTTTCAAACATTTCACAAACCTGAGATTTGTTCGTGTTGCTGGATGTATTGGTTGTTTGGCTATTTTGTGTTTTCGCACTTGACTGGGAGGATTCCAGTGACGCTTCTTGTGACCCCACTCTGTTTGTGGTAGACTGACGACAACTCAATTGTTTAGAGGTTTTGCAAGGTGTTCCATCAGAATCCTTCAGGAAAATGTAAAGTATTAGTGAGTTTTTCTTAAGAGTGAGTGAGTTTTTCCACAAGTTTTCCCTTAAAAATAAAGCTAGCAGTGGACGAAACTTAAAATGTGTTTATTTTATTAGCTATTAAAATTCTTTCAATCCAGAATTTTTATTGAGTAAAAGAGACAGATTAAAAAATTTATTGACACATGATTGTGATTTTGGGATGTGCCTTTTATTTTTTAAATAGTATTCCCAAACAGATTTTTTTAAAAGGCTTTTTTTTTTTTTAAAGTATATGGCTTAGGACTACCAGTGTTTTTTAAGAAATAGTTTTTCCAGAGAAAAGAGGGCTATGTAACTTTGTATCTACTGTATTCACTTTGTACATGTGTAAGGAAGGATACATACATGTATTAGAATACATGTTTTAGGAAGAATTTCTTCACTGTAACAGTCGTTAAGCATTGGAACAGGCTCCCCAAGGAGGTGGTGGACTCACTATCCCTGGCAGTGTTCAAAAAACATTTAGATGTGGCGCTTTGAGACGTGGTTTAGTGGGCATGGTGGCGTTGGGTAGAAGGCTGGACTTGATGATCTTTGAGGTCTCTTCCAACCATAATGATTCTATGTATTGTGTCAAAAACACACTGCAACTTACATGTGTAGAAATTGCATAAGAGGTAGTATCTTATGCAAGTTAGGATTCTGGATGAGATAACTAACTAGGATTCCAAGTTTTCAAAATGTATTCTGTGGCAAAACAAATCGGGGAAAAAAACTCAAAGAAATAGAAAAAATAAAACCAGAAAACCTCCAGTACTTACCACATCACTAGAGCTGGACAGTGTAGATGATGATGATGATAAAGGACCTGATGAAGAATTTGAAGAATGTTTACTAAGTGTTTCTGAAGTTTTATTTCTAGGTTTTCCCAGTGCTTCGTTCTCTTCAGCAAGATTGTTGTTGCATTTGTCTAGCTGCTGAGTATCTACTATCAAGGTTACTCCATTACCTATTAAAAACAAAACAGAAGCATCACATTATCTGCTAAAATGTGTTGCCTTTTTTTTTTTAATATACCCGCTCAGGTATTATGTATCTATTATATCCAGCAGGACACGTACAGACATCTGCACACGTACATACTTTTAATACATGCAGACACGTGTGTGCATGTACTGCATGCAGCAACCCAACACCTCGCAGAGGTGTGCTGGTTTCCTGACAAGGTCCATTCATGTACACGATGATGAAAACCACCAATCACTACCCACAGTTCAAGATGGAAATTAGAGAGACAAGACGTGGAAGAAAGTAGTAACAAAGCTCAGATGTGCTGCTTAATAAGATTGTTTCATGACACACTTCAACAGCACTCAAATACATAGGTTTAAATTCGGTTCCTATACGCCCAATACTCAGCAACTCCCATTCTCCTTCTGCTGGAGTTGCTAGGGTCATAAGAACTCCAAATAAGTTTGGCTGCTTTGTCTGATACCCTACACTGAAAATACGAGATTCAGAACTCTTATATCTCACTAATTTCTACCTTAATAAATAAAAAAGATCTAAACTAAATCTACAAGACAACCACTGTAACTGTCACCATTATCTTCCTGATACAGGGTTATTTTTATTTTTTTAATTACGGTTTCATCTCACATAACATACCTAGTAGTTACCTCTGATTCATACAATATACATTTGTTGCCCCACTAGCTGTATTTGCATATAGAGTTTAATACCTACATCACAATAGGTAGCTAAGTACTACTCTGGAGCTTGCGCGACTGAACGGTGGTTGTCTGCCAGTACCAGGGGTACGGCAGTGCCACGAGGGTCTGCAGATTGATAAAACATGCATGGCCCAGAAGCACATTCAATTTGCAAGGACAGCAAGGGAGATGAGTAACAAAAAGCTTTAAAAACAAATAAACAAAATCCCAACCTATCCTAAAGACTGGGTAGCTGTGTCATCTTCTCTGATTAATCCCTAAGAAGAGAAGACTTCTAGTAGGCAACATTCTAAAATTAACTGGAGAGTGTTAAAAGTCATTTTAACTTGAAAACTTCCAGACAGCAGATACACCTACACCAAAAGAGGGTGGCAACTGGATGCTAAAGTCAGAAGATGGGCAATGAAAATAAAGATGACTTCAAAGGACATTTTCAGCAAGTTCTCTGGCTAGATTTTGTGTGTTTCCATTTGTTAGTAACAAGAATTATGATTGATATTTCAGGATTTTTCTGTTTGATGGTCAATCCTGGTTTAAATATTGCTTCCGTACACATACAATATGTTAAACTTTAAAGTGAAAAATAAAAGAAAAACAGAGGGTAAGGATTTAGACTTAAACTAGCATTCCCAGTAATCCTTTTTAAAACCTTGTCCACATTTAACGAACAAAGGAAGTATGACAGTAACAACATGTGCAATTTAAACTGGAAGTTTTTCAAAAGTCTGCTTTTGCAAGCCAGCAGTCTTTATAGACCTCTATGCTGACCAAATCTATCGCAGTAGAATAAAGATGTGGTATGGCATTTTTACTCTTGTACAAATCTAAACACAAGGAAACACAAGAAAAAAGAGAACACAAGGAAAAAGTCCCTCACTACTGAGCAAAAAACTAAATTCATCTTAAGATGCATACATTGCCTTATGTGAGGCAAAAGCAACAACAAAATCGATATGATCAAAATATGCAGGAAGTTTCGCAGTATCGGCCATGCTTAGTCAAAACTTACCATTACACGAAGACTCTGTCCTCCTTTGCATTCCCCACTGCTTTGATATCCAGTCTCTGTATGTGGCCACTTCTTGCGTTACTCTAATTATTCTACCTAATATACTGTAAACCAGGAAAAAAACAAAGCCGTCACCAAAATTAATTAGACAAACAAAAATAAAAGCAATTAATGTCTGAGATATAGACTCATAAAATTTACCTTTCTGTTTCGTTGTTAGGGTAATATTTAGCTATTGGGGAAACTGCATGGCTCAAAACAACATAGGCATAATCAAAAGCCTGTTTCACTTGCATGGCACCATAGGAACTCCTCCCAACATCATTACCTTAAAATAAGAATATAATTAAATAAGATTGAAACCGTGGTTATCTCCTTTCAGACAGGAGACAGTAGTATTTTTTAAAAATTGACCTTAAGTCCCAACTCACTGCAGTTACCTCTTGTAGAATAGGATTAGTGAGGCATGAATATTCAAAAGAGCTTAAAAGACCTATAGATATTTGCATGCACAGAAATCCAAAACGGCAGTTCTCTGGGGAAAAGCGCAATACATGAAGGAAAAAAAAAAAATCCTGTACTGCATCTATTACACATATAATAGTGCTGTCCTGGATGACATTTTTCTGGATCAGAAATATGTTAACCCTTTTCTACGAATAGCACTTGACTTGCCGTTTCAGAAGCCACTCATTCAAGTCGACAATCAACCTTAACGTAAAGGTAACAGTGCAGAACGAAACCACTACATATTTATGTGACTTTACAGAATCAAACAGGAGAGAGTGCACGAGAGCATGTGTACATCATAAAGTGCAACTGTGATACAGGTAAGCACAAGCTTGAAAGGGACCACGCGTAGATACAGGTACCTCGAGCCCAAACTCAGGCCCATGCTGCTGAAGCTTTACTGCTGTTAGCGCAGAGCACACGACAGTGGGTTGGCACGCCTTCTCACACCCCACCTCCTGACTGCAGTACAGGCATGCTCTTGGGTGACACGGTAACTTTGGCTCGGAACACGTCTTAAAGAAAACTGTTGTGTTCTGAGTACATCTTGTGTTCATAGACATGAAGGAGGTGGTTCCATTTGGGTTTTGGTGGTCATTCTATACTATTCTTTGATTTAACTCCTCTGGATTAATCAGTCCCCTAACTTTTTTTCTTACTCAATATGTTGAATCTTGGTTTATGAGGATACCTGGCTGTAATGGATCTTCGATATACAGCATTGATGGTCTGTAGCCATCCAGCATGCTTTTCTGCACTTCGTCCTTGGCAACATAAGAGCCACCATCCTTTATTCGGATCCCAGTCTTCAGATAATTGAAGTGACGTCCATATAATTCAAAAAATTCTATTAAAAGAACACCATAGTTGGCATTGGGCATACAGGCATCTTCCCTGGGATGCAGCTATTAAAAAGAGAGAAAAAAAAAATTTTCTTAAGACTTCAAGTTTCAAGAGCCTTTAAGTGCCTTTTCTTTTTCACAGCAAACATGTCTAAATACAATAAAAATTATAATAAAACATAATATATAACGGATACATGTCTAAATATAGTATTTTCCCTTGATAAAGCAGTTTTGCATCTTCCAAACAAGATGCTATCAAAACTTTTATAAACCTCTTTAAAATAAGGCTGTCAAGTATTAATGTTTTTGTATTTGAACTTTCAGTTCAATAAGTGAACTTCCAGCACTAATCACAGGGTTCTTGCAAAAAAGCAAAGATATTTGCACTTCAGAAACCTTGGTTTGCAATACAAATACAGGCTTCTAATGTGCACAGCTATATAAATGACCCCCTCTACTGTCAATGTAAGAAAAAATTGGGGCTGGGAGAGATTTTGTTTTCTTTCAAAAAGATATGCCTGTTGCCTTCAATTCTTTTGTGCTCAGCCAGGAACTGCAACAGCACTCAGCAAACACCGAGCTCCAGTTCAAGGCTCAGGTTTAAAAGCAACTACAATCTGGAAAAGTACAGACATACACATACACACACACACACACAGAGTTACACAATAACATTTAGTACAAGAAAAAGAACCAGGTTGATAAAGCCAGAACCTGGCTACTTCATATTTCCCCAATATTTTCCTCCCCGAGGCCCAACAACATAGATTTAGCTCATGCATTTTGTTCCCTTAGATTTAAGGGAAAGTTGTAAAACATGTTTGTTTGATATCAGCTTAAAAACCTAGACAAACAAGCACAATTCCGTTGCATTCATTAAATCACATACAGGTTGTATGACCTGGAAAACAAGTGTTATAAAAGACAGCTGCATCTAGCACTAACCGATGTAGCTTGTTCCAAATAAGTTACAAAACAGTCAAGTTATTTTACCATAAATGACACGTGCCTGGTATTGGTACACCAAGGGATGTTCCAAACATCTCTCATACCAAAAGTACCAGTATGGGAGAAAGAACAGCAGACAGGTGGGATGCGTCTATTTTTAAATGAAAAGGGGGTGCAAAACCACAAACAGGATAGCTTAAATGATTTCAAATTTAAGGACTGATTAAATACCTTCTTAATGTAATGTCTTTTTGCACCAATGGCATCAACAGATTTCATTAAGCTTACCTGAAGGAAACTGACAGCCATTAAAAAAAGACTGTAAGAACCGATTCCACCTGTAAATACTTCATTAAGGTCCCTCTGCAACAGGAACTGTTTCAATACTAAAACTAGATACGGTAATACAGGATATTTCTGAAAGAGAAAAACAAAGGTGTTAGGATACCGTGATGCATATATACAACTGATGCTAAGAAAGCATACTGAAGCTAAGTCTTAAAGCTAAGTATAATTCTTATTTTTAGTAACCAGGGAGAAGCCAAGTGCTCTGCCTGTGATCAATACAATTATTTTACCTCTTCAACTCTGGTGGCAGATATTAACAATACAAAAAAGTTATTACCTCATAAAATCAGAATGATTGTTTGAATATATAAATACACTTGCTTTTCTCATACAAGTGGAAAGGAAAGCAAAGAAAGAACTATGCAGATATCCATGTCTGTAGCAAAACCTTCCTGCCATAACCAGGGTGATATCCCAAAGCGGACTGAAACTGCTGTCCTGCAAGTACTTCAGATGCCCAGGGTTCAAAACACTTCTTCAAAATTACTACACCCAGGTAACATTTTCAAAGGAGCCAAATACTTACCTTGGGTAACTGGTCCTTCAACAGGTTTGTCCGCACTGATTCCCTTAGAGGTGTGCCTAGGCTGCACGTGCGGAGAACACAGACCTTTAGGACAGCAGTGGGGGCTGGGGCTACGCCTGCACTCTGTACACCCCCTCACAGGGGAGAGGGCAAGAGAGGCTCAACAATATCACTCCTTTTATCAACACAGAGCTAAAAAGGTCCTTAGTGTCAGAGAAGAAATGTGGATCATGGTATCTGTGATTGCAAAAGATTAAAGGGAAAGAAGAATTTCTCCAAGCACGTCTCTGCATGAGCCCTATGGTGAGTATTGGGAGTCCTATTTAACCAAACAACCCAAGATCACTTTTTTGAACTATTAAGAACTTAGAGTCACAAGCTGAAGTGTTGAGTATCAGTATATACCACAATACAAAGACAGGATTTTTCTCAGGAAATTGCAAACCCTTAATTAAGGCTTCAGGTGCCTCGGACCTAAATAAACTGGTTGAAGAGAAATAGGCATTTCCAAGGGTAATACTGAACACGACACCTCAGTTAGGTATTCAAAGCTATATAGAACAAAAGAAGACCCAAGAGAATGCCCTGCAAGTGTTTTATAGAGAGATCTTCAAGAACACCAATGAAGTCACTTGGCAAGTACACACCAAGATTTCTCCAGGGTAAGCCATCGACCTCCGCAGTAGCGCAGCCATTACCTGCCGTGTGTCGGGGCCGAGGGCCACCTCTCCCCGCCACACCAGGCTCAGCCGCCCGTGCTCAAGGCCAGCTCTGGTGTGGCACAGCTGCACGGCCTTGGCTTGGGCTGCTGGGAAAATAGCCGTGTGGGAAAGCACCGTGTGAGAAGCCTTGTTGGAGTCCCTCCACTTTGTTTGAGAGCTGCTTTTCATCTCAGCTGTGCCCCTTGGTGTCTGCCCAAGCCACGCTGCTGTGCACTGATGGTGATCCTAATCCTAATCCTGACCCTAACCACCAACTTGGCATCCTCAGCCTCAACCTCCTTGCTGGGGACTTGTCTGCCAGCTGCTGGCCAGATCGTGAGCTGACCCCAACTACTGTCACCACACCTGCTCTGCTCTTCAGGATGGGGTACCATGGGGCTGCACCCTGGCGAGGAAGGTCCCTGCCCCGAGTCTGCCCGGCTGCCAGATGCAGCTCCCCCTCTCTTCTTGAGGGCACATGTGTTCGCTATGCCCTGACCCAAGGCCAAAGCCACCTCTCCAAAGGGTTACAAATAACCTGGGCAACAGGAACACACTAACACTTTCGGGGTTTTTTTTTAAGCACACAAAAATGCCTTCAGGCTCTCAAGAGAAGACATTTTGGGCAAGTATGCAGGGCTTTATGGACTTACCTAAAAATAAGCTTGTACGTGGAGTATAACAGAATTACAGCCCGTGTTGTGGCAGAAAACCAAATACGGACTGCCTGTCCGCCACATGGCAATGCAGCAATGCACAGGATGTAAAAACTGAAGTTAGCTACCAAACTCCAGGTAGGCGTCTTACAACAGAGAATCTGGGCATCTGCTTTCCCCAACAAGGAGTTACACAGCACAAAACTATCGGTCTTGATTTAGTAGCAAACAGTTGGCCAACACAATCGACTTCTGTTCATGAGACAGAGGCTGAGAGAAAAGTCTCTGGACCCCCCCACCCTCCTGCAGGTGCAAAAGGCCTGACCAGCACAAGGTTTAAGCAGAAGGTTTATATAAGCACACAGGGGAGACTACACAGACAAGAACTCAGACTGTTCTACTGAAACTCAGGATGGAGATTTTTCTCCTGTGTCCTTCTACAAGTTAAAGAAATAGACACTGTAGAAGCAAACAGCTACTTTCATACTTCCTACTAAACAGACATAAAGGAACCAAAGATGGCAAGTTGAAGGCCACACATTCAACTTATGAGCAATTAAAAATCCCCCAAAATTTAGAAGACTTCTTGCTACTCAATGACATTATTAAAGCAGATGTACATGATTTCTAACCCTTATGATTGAAAGTAAAGTGCTTGCTTTATTCAGATTTATGGAGTTTTCTGAAGGAGCTTTACTCGTCTAGCTATCGAAATATTTTGATTCTCCTGCTCTCCATTAGTTTGGTTAAAAAACCAAAGCAGTTAGTAGTAGAACAGTAATACCTAAGCACTTAAGTGAGGCTGAACTGCACTTCATCCCCTTACAAAGAACATGAAAATACAAGAAAAGTTTTCTACTGTTTTTGTAAGACACTTACTACGCGTGTCCCGTGCACTGAATAGAAGGGAAAGAAAGGAAAACAGTGTAATGATACTTCAAAACTTCAAATACAAAAGCGCATTAATCCTAACAAAATGATCCCATATATTAAACAAAAATAACTGTAATGTATCTACGATACACATACTAGTGAATCCCTGAACAATAACTTACTAAATTCAACTTATTCTACTTAATTAGCATTTGCATGCTGAAATAATATTCAATCTAGAACAAGATCATTCCTTCTTTCTCAGGAATGTGTAGTTATTACTAATTTTAAGTTCAAGGAACCACAGTTAGAAGAGCAGAACTTTTAACACAGGTATTAATGCATTTTCCTTAGCCATTGTACCATTATAACTTCTACGTACTTTCTTTGTACATTTTACTATCTTCATGCCTTTTAGGGCAATATATCTAAAACCTAAGAATGTCACACAGTAGTATCAGTCAACAAAAAAATAACAGAGAGTGAAAGCATATCTCTAGTAAGGATGCAAAGTAAAACAGAAAATCAAATTAAGTCATCAAATAATTCAGCTCTGTAGTTCTATTATAGTGTTGCCTAACCTTGATAAAATCTTTGATGAGCTGGGCTGCTTTAACCCCATTCTGTACATTAAAGCTTATATCAACTTTTACTTCAGTGAAGGAATCTGTCAGTTTAATAATAGGTACCTGAAAAAAAAAAAAAGACAGATTAAGTCAATACAGATTTCCAAGACACAATTGGTTTCGTTCATATTTATACGCACCAGTAAAACCCAAATGTTTTATGAATTTGTAGAGAGGAGGCAGACGGAGAGAACAGGACTCCTGTCTGTTTATGAACTCACTCTCCTTGCCAATCTGTTTGCATAAACTTCGCTTTTCTAACTCTCAAATAATATTTTCAATTTACTATCCTGTTTAACAGAGTTTAACACTTCATCTTCAAAATGATTAATTTTAAACTGTTTTTAGTCAGCTCCTGGTGCAGAAGCATCGTTCTAGTAGGAAAAACAAACACCAGAGGGAGACAAATGCTTAAGAAATAAAGATAAATGGAAATAGATAGATACTCTTAAGAAAAGACACACTCGTGTGTAATCGTGGGTCATTGATTCCTCATCAAAATTACATTCAAACAAGCAGCACTCTGAAGTATCTCCACCTGAGCGGTTTCCAAATTACCTCTCTCTTCTAGTAACAGCCATCAATTAGACATCTGTTTAAACCCCAACACTCTTACATACTCTTACAATTAGCAAAAGGTAGGAAGTTACAATGGAATTAATCCTGTCCTGCACAAGACGTACCATTACATATTTATACAAGGCTGTACTTAATACTTGACGTGAAAACGTATTATGTCTGCTTACTTACAATAAGAAAAAAAATAATTTACTTACGTACAAACTCAGTCCAGAAATTCACAAGTCTAATCAGATTAATTCACAACAATGACTAGTATAATCTCACTTAAAAGCAAGCGTATGTTGCGCAGTATGGAAAAATCAGATTATTTTGCCCAACAGAAGAAATGCTTCTGCTGGAGCACTATCAATTATTTTGTAAGTAATAAAAACTGTACTAAATAAAAAGGTTCTACTGGTTCTATTTCAAATTTATATTAAAAATAGTTTCTGCTTATGAAAATTAATCCTTTTAACCAAGATCTTTCTTTGATTAGAAGTTTAGCTTAGAACAAGGAAATACCCTCTTCCCCCAAACTTACAGTTGCTTTATCTAAAACCTTTACTGAGTTTTCATCTGCTACATTGTGCTTTCTAAGAGCTTCCTCCAGGGTCCAAAGAGGTAATGTCTCCCATTTTCCAAACACAACTAAATCAATATCACTGAAATGGAAAGAAAAATACAGATTTATTCAAATTAAAAGACCAATACACTTAAAAAATAAACAACTGACATCCACAGATAACGAGAATAAAGCTGACAAAATGTAGCTTAAACGAATAATTTATTCTTAATTTTCTGAGGAAAGGAGTGGGGATGAACTCTTACACTTGCGGAAACACAGAACATTTCAGGTTACCAAGAGCAGGGGGCAGATACACACACAAATCAACTGGGTTGCAAAGCCTGAGATTAGTCTCCTCAGGCCACACTGTCAGCAGAGAGGGATCAGCTTCTCCAGAGTGATTCAGAGCAAGACGTTAGTTTGCTGTGAATCACCACCTTTGGGCTGTATTAATTAGTAACGCAGATTTAACAGCCTGCCACTGAAAGGGAAAGTCCTGCTCCCCCCACCCCCCATCCTCTGCTCCCAGATGCACGGCCCTGTCTCCTTCCTTGCTCTAGGTCTGGTGTTTGTCTAATCCACAGCAAATCAATTCAATATATTAATGGGTTTGGCAGAAACGAACTCCTCCCTGCAACCCCCCTTAAAAAACTCCAAAACATGCTGGGGTAATTTCCTGCCTCTATTTGCATCTCAAAGTTGGTTTTCTGGGCGACCAGTGCAGCAGTGGGCACATGGCAAGCAGCTGGCCTGTACTGCCAAGAACAGGGAGCAGGCCAGGAGAGAGGAAAATGTGGCAACTGACTTCAGGAAGCAACAAGCTGTTAAGTAAGATCAAACCATCTAATTAACTTCACTCAGTAACTCAGCTCCTTGAAGAGGTGTCTCCATCCCGCTGCACTTCCTCCTTATGCATAGACACATTCGACTACACAGGGAGCCGACACCCTAATTCAATGCCTAAACTCAAATTCAAAAGGTGACTGGTGTCCAAACTGAAGCTAGCGAAGGCTACTGTGAGATCCTGAGCTTTTTCCTCTTTGCTCCTCAACTTCTTCGTTCCCTGCTTGCTTGCGAACACAAAGGAGGCAAGCCCATAACCCTATAGTTATATTAGCAGGCCACTTCAGTCCTATGGAAAACTGCGTAACAGAAAACACAAAAAAATTTACGAATACTTTTTGCCCGCAACAGATTCTACAGGTCTGCCGCTTCACAAACAACACTGCTTTAACAATCTCAAAGAAACTACATCTGCATTAAATGAAACATCTCTTGCCGACAAGCCGTGTTGGCAGCAGGCAAGTTCAGCAGCAGTTCAGCTGCATACCATTTAGCTGACAAGGACGGGCAGCACTCAGCCAGTTTCAGAAAACTGTGTTCAAAACCTGCTTGGAGAGTAGGAAATGCTGCTGGACACTTCTCTTCTAAACTAAGTTAGTGTTAAACCCACTACTGATGTTGACCATTAACAACAGGAGACATTTTTCTGATGCACACCAAGAGAGAAAAAGCAGCTCTGTTGTCACCTTGAGCATAGACACTGCCTGCAAAATAACACAGAGATCCAGCAGCTAAACAACCGTGTGCCCAAACCTTCAGTATCAGCCTACGTAAAAGGATACTAGGCAAATTCTAACACAGAGTAACAGAATGAAAAAAAAAACAACCCCACACTGTAGGTCCTCCTGGATCCCAGAACCTGAAATCTAAATTAATCACACAGCTACTGACAGGTAGGGAAAACCTAGGGCAAAAGGAAGCTTTGATAGAAGGCAACAGTGAATTAATTACCAACATGCAAATGCTGGTTATTTTGAAAGTCTGGCAAGTACTGCCACAGGAAGGTTTGTTGTGGGCTTATGTACTGTGTTTAAAGTATCAGCACTTGTTTTCCCCAGAAAACTCAGCTGAAACAAATACGGAGAAAAGGCAGTAGATGAAATCAAACAGACAACAGCAAAGCGTTTTTGCTACATCAGTTTCAAAACAATCAGGCAAATATAGTAAAGAACTATTGCTATCTATCATGGGGATAGGAATATCTCTCTTGGATTATCAGCATCCAATCAAGTTTAATCAGGCCTATTTAAAATCAATGAAAAAAAAGTCCAAGAACAAGGCCAAGTGTGAAAACAACGTGTATTTGCACACCCTACTTCTGACTTTCCAAAGAGAAACAGAGCAATTCAGCTTTCCTGCAACTCCTTAGACTAAAGCAGGTACTAAAGCCTCTGTCAGAATCTTGTTTTCAAAAAGAGACAAAATGCCAACTCAGGTATCCATCACTTGCAGTCAATACTAGATATTAATTCCTCAGGTTCCCAAAGTATGGAACTCAATTCAAGTGTTAACTTCAGACCTATACTATTTAAATGTGTTTATCTCCTACAGCCATTTAAGCCTTTCATTCTATTCAATTGTCAAAAATACTTATAATTTCTACACAGAAGATACCAGTGTCACCGAGTAATGACTTTTCTTTATGAAAACTAGTAATAAATTTGGAAAAGGTAGATGTTCACTATTGTACAGATTTCACAAAAGAAGACTGAAAGAAAAAAATAATTCCATATGTAATCTTTTCTCTTCAGTGCTAACATTATCATTAACAAGGTAACGTTAAATGTTTCACTTTAATCGTCTGTGGAGATAAAATTTAGCTCTTCTTTTAAGGCCAATCTCTTATTCCGGTTCAGTCATTTAATGAAGCCAAATCACAAAATAAGCCTTTTCTGACAACATGGTAATTCAGATCTTTTACCGATACATGCAAAATCTATATAGACGCATGTATTACAGTTAATAGTCTTAATTACTATACTTGCGTACACTTTGCAGATTACTAATAGCTAAACACTTTCTTAATATAACAAGTATACACACAAGTACCACAGATACTGCGACACCAGATAAATCACTACAGGGGTACAGGTTCAACAGGCTATCTTTTCTCTTGTATGCAATTTACAATGAAGAATTACTAACCTTGTAGGTAAATATAAACCAGTTTTAAAACTTCCAAATATCTGCACCTGAAACACAAGAACAGGATATATGAAAACAAATTTTTAGGCTTCAGAAGACAAACAAGTTCTATTAAGTTGCTTGTAAAGGCTGGTTATTGCTACCCTCCATTGGCAGATCTTGGTATTGCTAACAGGTACACCCTGAACACAAGTACTCTTTTCTGTTAAAGCATTTACATCTTCAGTGTAGTATAAACGGTTAAAGTTCATTGTTATCACCCACGAAACATTAATAACTTTGACTTTTCTATTACAAAATCTTTGTAATGTAAAAATTTTCACCAGGACCAAATTTGGCAAAACCTCATAACGCAAGAGATTTAAAAACACTTAAGAATGACAGAACATAGAAAAAACCAGTATCAGTTCAAATTATATTTTGCTTTCATATCTCAAAGTATACCCTTCCGTTTTTAAACACATTTTCTAAGTTTAATATCTTTCTGTTGCTTCGCATACTTTAAAAAAAAAAAATCATGATCCATTTTTTTTCTGAATTGCAGAGCAAGTAGCACAACTCTGTTTATTTCCGTTTAAACAACAAAAACTTTCAGAAAGTTTCACATCCCACAGATTTAGTTTATTATGCTGGATTTTTACTAACACTGGAGGTTTAAATAATCAGGTTTCCATTGTAAGCTGTCCAAAACCACGTCCTCATTAATTTAGCCAAGCCTCACAGGGAGGTCAGACTCATGTGCTAAGTCTCAAAAGTGGACTGGTGAGACTTCGAAGTAAAAACATCTGTATGTTTGGATGACTTTGCAACCAGTCTTCTGATGTGTTTCCTGGAGCCACCTTACAGACTTGTGTATTCTGCTTTACTGAGTCTCATACACTACCTTGATTGCCACCTATTTGTATGTCAAGTGACCCACTTTTTCTGTTTTTCCCCCTTCAGGATAAGAAAAAAGGTGAGACGGGAAAAGATGTTTTGCCAGTAAGTGTCTTGATACTTTAGTAGACTACGAAGCAGTATGAGTGCTTCCTCTTGATTATTTTATATCACCTCACTCTTTTTAGCCCCTCACGCCAACCCCAACAAAAAGCACATGCTAGCAGTATATATAATGTTGAATGTACATAGCTTCTCAAACTACAAAAGACTGCAAGAGATGCCACAGAACTAGCATTAATATTGTATTAGATCTTGACAAAAGCATAAAGGCATCACAAAGCTAAGAATATAATAATTATTACTACTTTTAATCCAGGATAATAATAAAAGCATCCTCTATGAAACTGTTTGGGTTCAGTCAAACAGGATTTATTTGGCACCAAAAACATCTGAGAAGTGCTTCTGCACAATAAAACAACCACTGATGGGCTCAGAAAAAACTAAATGTGCTTTCACATTATCAAACAAAATGGTGTGTTCAGCTGAACAGCAGAGAGAGCCTTTATTGAATAAACAACCCTGAAAGTATTCATAAACTTACTGATACAACATATATGACCTTTACCAAAAGGAATGAGACAACATCTGCTGTTGTACAATAATTTGGAGTATCAGAAACACTGAATGATTACAAAAGAAACCCACATCTACACTTCAATCCCTCTCTCATCAAATCTGGAAAGACGGAAGAGTAGGGAAATCAGAATAGAAATTTTAAAGGACTTTGATTTATTATCGAATCAGAATCTAAACTGTTGAAGCTCTGTAGCCATGTACATATTCAAAGCATCCCAAATACAGGACACTATTATGACTTGAGAGACGTGAGCACTAGTTTTTGCAGTATGCCAACACTGCCGCTTATGTTTTCAGTCTATGTGGCCAGAGATATGTATTTGCATTCATAAGATAACTTAAGACTTCATAGTACTGTAATGGACTCCCTCTACTCTTGTATGTTATTGTTACTATTTATCCTACATTTCTGTGAACTTGTTCGTATTAAATTCCAAAGTTTCCTGAAGGAGCTTTAATTATGGTATGTGTCCAAATATGTCCTCGCTATGCACAACAGAACTTGGAAACCCACAAAAGCTTGGAAAGTCCTTGCTACCAAAATCCCTCCATCAAAAAAAACAACAACAAAAACCTATCCATAGCCAATTTAAATTTCCTTTTCTTCCACATTATTAAGTAGAATTTTCTGAAGTTTGTCAAACTGAATAGAGTTCATCTGACTACTACTATTCCCAATCATAGTATTTTCTTAACTGAAGTGCATGAAGTATGCAATATTACCTCTTTTCAGATCTATGAGACCACATAATACTCGGACATGAAGCTGAGGACATTATGACAAATGTATGCTAAATTCCACTGTGTAAGTATTTATTTGTTCAATAGTCAAATTTTCATATTCAACTGGTCAAAAAACTGTCTTAAAATGTTTTCGTTTAATGTTTCAGGTTGTTCAGTTTCAGTGTAATTAAAGCCTTTCTTATGGTCAGAACCTTGCTGATGCCAAGAACAGTTCTCACTTACTAGGAATGTTTCCTTCTAAGCACATTCCCTTGAGTAAGACAGCAAATGACACAATTGCTAACTTCTATAAATAAAGTAACAGTTTAGGATACCTAATTTTACCCCCCCTCCATCTGCTTTTTCAGCCTTTTCCTAAGTGGAACGGCGGGGGGGGGAAGTATGTGCACAGACACATTCCACATGCTCTCTGTACATTTAGATTCATGAAGTCTGATTTTCCTTTTCTTGCTATCTGATTTTTATATAGTACGTCTTACCTACGTGTTTAGTGAGAAACTACAAACCAAATGTGTATGTTTAACCTACAAGTTTATTTTAGCTGGATCCGCGGCATCTATGACTCAAAATGAACAGCTTAAACATTAACTTCTTGCTTTACACTACAGCTAAAGCTGAGGACATTGAACCAGATAACACTCCACCTTCTCAGAGCATTTACTCAAAACTTAAATCTTACAAGTAGCTAAACCAACACAGATTTCCAAAAGGTTAGTGATTAACTCAAATGACTGAAAAATTACAACAAAGGACTGTCAAAGTTGAACACAGTTGAGTTCAGCAGTTCAGTTCCCAAGCAGATCTGTAAAGTATTAGAAAAATAACATTACAGTAATTTCCAGATTATAACCTGGCATGCTGTTGTCACCGTTCAGTTCCCTCCTAGCCTCCAGAAAACGGAAGGGCATACAAGAGAATTCTTCCTTGACATAACAAGAGCAGACAAAACGCAGAGTTGGGTTTTGAAGAGCAGTTGCTGACTTGAGAAAAAGGAACTAGCACGCTCTTGCTCTCTAACATTTTCAAGAACAGTGAAGAAAGACGGTCACAGCAGTTTTAACTGGCACTACTTGGAAAGTGAACTTCAGTTTTCAACTACACAGTGTGTGCTTCCTCTCAGTCACATTACAGCTAAGCCCAGTGGTCACTTGTGTTAGGGCTTGTAATTTGCTTCCCCTTCTTAAACAGATTATGGCTACAAAAAACAGTTTCAGTAGCTTAAAGACAGACTATTTTCTCAAGGCCCAAAGTCATATATATATATATATATA